AACACTATAAAATAAAGCAAAATCTCCTACATTCCAGCAATCAGGTTATTCAATCAGTAGCTTTATTACACTTTCCTGTCCTGAGCTGTGTTCCAGCTGCAGGTTTGAGAACCACCGTGGCTGCCAAGTGACGTTTGTATCTACATCGGCGAGCGTCTGTTTTAGTGATATGGACTTTAATTATATATGACATAATTATGATACAAACCTGCTTTCAGTCCAATTTAGGACCAAGCCCTACTATTTTTACATACATTTCCAAGCAAATTAAAGCCCAGTTTTGGGAGTGTGCTCGATCCCAGAAGTGCAACTTGATATCTGTTTAAAAGAAACTGAGACTCCAAGAAAACACCGTCACTGCCCAGCAGTTTGGCTCTTTCCTCCTCGCAGTTCAAGAGCAGCAAGGGCAGACCTGATTTCTGAGTGTCCTTGGCTGCTGTCGCTTGTGGTGTTTTAGCTCTTGCACTTTTCTCCTGGGAGAGCATGATGGCACTGACTTAATGGGGGTAAATGGGAAGATGAAGGCTGCTCGTTTTCTGCACGTGGAGAGGGGTGAACCTCTGGTCATGAATTCAAAGGCAGGCATGAACTGTGCAGCAGCCTTCTGCTCTGGGAATGGTGACAGTGATGCTGGTTGATGGCATAAAATAAGCTGCTAGAGATTGCATAGAATGGTGGGGGGATGGGATAATAAAAATATATTAATCTACCAAATTCTAAAATGGTAAAATAGAGGGGTTTCAGGAATGAGAAAATGACAGCCCAGCTGTACAATGCTTTTGAGTGGCTTACACTTTGAAGGCTGCTTTTTAAGGAAAAAGAGATGCAAGCTCCAGAGATCATTTTTAATGAGTATGTGAAGTAGTGCCTGTAGCATTTGCATCACCAGTCATGAAACAGTACTAGAGGAGACAACCTTTAGAAAATGAAATGCGTCTGGCTTCCAGTTTGGTAAAAGTGATTCTTGTGTTTGATTTGTTTTGGTTTTGGTTTTTTTTTTTTTTTCACTGAGCATATACTTACAAAACTTAAATGCTTTAAGCCAAGTAGTGTGAATTATGATCAGGACAAAGCATTGGAATATCTCTCTCTAAAACAGAAAGATTGAGAATTTCAGCATCTTGTTTCCAAAATAGTTGCACATACTTCTTGCTTCCTTGATGTGCCCTTGGCAGTCAGTCAACTATAAGACTTTTTGAGCTCCATTGATGTACTCTGAAAATATCCTCTGCACTTAAATCGTTAAGAGGATGAATTATGGAAATGACAGGGGATAAGGAAGAGAAGAATAGATGCACATTCACTTGGGGCCTTGCCTTGAGGCTGGTGTCATTTGTTGGTTGGATGGTCTTTGAAATAGAGGCATTAGAGGGAATGAGTTGTAGCAAGCAGATCAAATATCTCATCTATAGTCATCATACAGAAAGGAAACAACATCAAATACTCTTAACAGGTGGTCTGGTGGGAAAGACAGCAGTAAACAACACTTCCTAAAAGTAGGTATTTTCTCTCTCTGTGATGGGCCATATTCCATTTATAAAATACCCATTAGTACTGTTTATGACCACATAATTTACTTTTTTGTATTGTTTTCCCTGACTATACATGGTTTAAAATCAAAACAAGCAAAAACTCTAGACAGTCATTAAAAAAAAAAAAACCTGTTTTTTTGTTTGTTGAAAACCAAATTTGAGGGTTTTTTGTGGATTTTTTTGGTGTTTAATTTAAAAATAGGGGCCTTAAGGAGTCCCCATCCAATGGCAATAAGGATTTCAGTTACAAGAAGTGGAAGAGAAGAATATCTAATAAAACTTTGCTGCCCAAAGCTTGGGAGGATTGAAAACAAACATCGTAAGATATTAAGTCAGTCTAGTTTGGATAGCTATATTCCTTTAATTTAGAGAAGCACTGGACACATTTTCCCTGTATTACTTTCTGTCAGCAAAATGAAGAAGGTTGTGGAAAAAACCCCACCCATGAAATGGGTGAAAGGGCTCCGTGCTGATCGAGGAGCACGCTCTAGTGGCAGGTTAATCCAGCGTGGCCTTCCCAGGTGCCCATCCTCCACCCTCACTCATATTAATCAGCTACTTCAGAAAAGAGAGAGTGGCATTTTCACAGGACCCTTTAAATTTTAGCATTTGTGTGTCTGTCCTTTGCCAAAACAAGTGCAGTGTGTCTACATGCGGCATCATCACATGTATTGGTGGTAGTGAGATGAAACTCCTGCTCTCTAATTAATTTTGCAGTGGGGAAGTAATGTCTATTTTTGCATATGGCTTTTAAATGCATAGATATTTTAAGCTGGAGAGGGAAAGATTTCATGCTCACGATGCACAAATTCTTATGGAGTGTGAGCATTTTAGTAACAGATACAGTTGTTAAGCTTGCCTGTTAGCATCACAGAAAATGTTGGGTTCTCAAAATCATCCACATTTTTGCAGTGTTTTCTGTTCTTGTCCTCTGCCTGCCTGGGGCTGGTAAATCTCTTAGGCCTTTCCCTCCTGCTCAATTCTTTTTTTTTTTTTTCTCATCAGATTCTCTAAAGTGCGTGTAGATAATCATCTTGGAAGAAAAAAAATAAAAGAGTGAGCATGTAAAAATGAAGCAATTCACATCTGAAGAGTGAGGATATAGTAAGGGAAATTATGCCCTGTGATTAGAGGTGAGCACCCTGGAATGTGCTTCATTTCATCACATCGCTTGGTAGGAATATAATTAAATTAAAAGTTTTAATCCTACATCCTTCACTATATGTGAAGGGGCTTTTTTGTACAAATTCTGCTCATGTCACTAACATAGATTAAAAAAAATCCATCCTGTGGCAAATGAGTTAACAGCGAGCAGCTTTTCAGCTGTTGTTGGGAGGTTAGTGCAATGGTGAATTTCTGGTGTTCTGTGTTTTTTGCGTGGTCTGTGGGGAATTGTGGAGAGGAAAGGAATTCGTCTTAAAGCAGCTTCTGTTGAAGGGTGTGGTGGTACCCTGCCCTCCTTTAGGCCTCTGGGTTTTTTCTCTTGTTTGGCATCGTTTTCGGGCGTAATTTTAGTTATTTACTTGAAACAAAGTTTCTTCCAAATGAATGAAAAATACTTAATGTAAACATAAAGTGTACAAAGTTCAAACCATGGAAGTGTTGAAACTTACTGCTTCGTCTTGTTTGTTCAGCCAGCAGGATCAACATCCCCTTTTAATGACCTCTTTTGCACTTAGAGTTAAAATTTTATAAGTATTTTAAACTTTGCTTCTGATTTTTTTTTTCCCAAATTAAATTTTTGCAGTGCAGTTGGTATATACAGTTTGGTTCATAGAAATGATCAAAGCAGTACATGATAGCCTAGCAGAGGATTAAAATTACATTAATACAGGGTCAGGACATTTTCACTTATCTTGTGAACTACTGTCAGTAAGCATTGCAGAGAGGACCAGGACACTTTTCCAGTCCAGGGTGGTGGTAGTGGAATGTTTTTCTCGGAGATGTAGTGGTGTATAAACTGCACTGGTGATCTCACAGTGATGCTTTGTAGCATTTATTTCTCTGTCCTCTACAACGTTGTATTTGTCTTCTTGTTCTGAAAACTAGAACTGTTAATATGTTGATATTAATTAAGTATTAATTAAATGCTACCATCCCCTGTACATGGAAAAGTGGAGTGCCATCAGTGCATGTGACATTCTCCCATCTCTCACCCAGGGCTCCTCCCATGGTTTTGGTGACAAATGTCCATTTGGCTGTTGGAGGTTTTGCCAGGAGGGAGGGAGAAGAAGTTTACTTGAATCTCTTGGGAATTTAAACATGGAAAATGATTGCAGACCAAAATACCCTGTGGTTCCTCAATCAAAAAAGGAAAAAACATTTTCAAGTGTTATTCAGCTTAGCAACAGACTAAATAGCTGAGGGTTTCTTAGAGGTCAGTGGTTACTTTTAGGATGATGGAAACTCTGAAATGCTACATCCTGTTTAAGGCATGCGTTGCCTTCCTTGGGTTTAATCCTTGTTTTAAGGAGGTGTTTGGGAAGTTTCAGTGTTATTTGTAATGTATTTCATGAGCCTTTGTAGCTGGAGTTTAGTATTTGGAAAGTTGCTTTTCGGATCCTCTTCCATTTGGGGCAGAGTTTTTTCTGTTTTACTATTGAGTGTGTCCTGCTTCAAACAGCATTTTTATTTGACACGTGAATTCTTTTCTTGTGGTGCCCAGACAATGTTCCTGTGCTTCTGCCTTCAAACCTTTTCTTGTTAATCCCTTAGTTTACACAAGATCCCTCTCTAATGATTTAATCTGTAATGAGAATTGGTGGTGGGAATCACTATGTTACACAAATATAGGATCAGTAATTATTCTGATCAAAGGTGCATAATGCACCTCTAGTGAGTGTTTTAAGTTTTGAAGTTGCCTGTAGAAATTAACTTCATGAGTGTATTTTAAGGATTATTTTATACAATGTGCTCTTTTTACTTTATTGGTGTTAAATTCAGCTCAAAAATTATGACTATTGAAAACAAATTTTTTTTGTTTGTTTGACCGTGGCCTCATGTTTCCTAATTTTTATCTTGCTGTTGAATCTTTTTAGTTGTATGCATTGGCCAACACTGCAGTAAGCTACTGCATCAGTACTTACCCATTTGTAAACTTTAATCTGGATTCTCATAAAGTTTCCCTTTGTCAGTGTGGGCAGACAAAAAGAACAGAAGTTCCTTTGAAGCTAATGCTCTGTTCTGAGGTGGGGTTTTGCTTTCAACCAAAACAGCGAGAAGAGGATAGAGTTGAAACCGTGCCTGTAATTTGTTTTTTTAAATAAATTCCATGTAAATAATCAAAAGACGGTCTTTTAATTTTTGTTTGTTTATTTTCTTAACTAAGCGTATATTGTTATCAGTAGGAAACTGAATGTTGTTTCAATTCTTTCAGTAAAAAGACTGGTAGAAAAATAGCTTTTATCCTTTTTTCATCCTTTAAAATAAATATTGATAGAAACTATCATAATATGGTTTGTGTTACAGGTGGTGTAATACCAAGGGCTGTACTGCTGCCACATCACAATTTTGTGGGGTTTCAGAGAGTAGTTCTGGTAAGGACACTCAATGATTTATCTATTTATTTATCATACAAGTGGACTGATAGTTTGGTACAATTTAGTATTACGTTCATTTACAGTATTTTTTAGGTATTGGTTTCTGCAGTTCACTAAATCCGTACATTAAGTGTTCTTTTATTCAATGGTCTTTATTAACAGCTCCTTTTGGAGCTGTTAGTGTCTCATGTGTAAATCCATATTAATTTTGTTGAGAGTTGTTATGATATAACACATCAATTCACAGCATGGAAATATTAACAAATAGAGCTTTTGTTGAAACACATCATAAAAACTGTTTTGTCTCCTGGAAATGTGGAGTCACTATTGCTTTGGTGTGTATCAGTTTTTTAAAAAGGGTGGAAAGTTACTGTATTTTGGTTATAGTATGTTTTTTTTTCAAGTGCTAAAGTCTTGTCACCCTAAAGGAAAAAATACAAGTATGTGGTTCAGAGGGCAAATATTCAGACCATGTTGTATTACTTGTCTCTTCTTAAGTGTAATGCACAGTCACAATTTTGCAATCATTTTCTCTAAATGCATGTAACTACATTCCCTCTATCATTTCTTTTGATTTTGGATGCTTTCTTTAAACATATTTTCTTATCTCTTCTCCATGGCTGGAGTTACAAGTGAGATGAGATTACATTTTCTTAGAAAGGGAAAATTCATTGTGCACCAGTCCACCATCAACCATGCTCTAGTATTGTGCAAGAGCACAACTGAGCATTTGTTCTTTCAGCAGGAGATAACTGATACCACATTTGTATCTGTAGAATTTTTAATATCTGCTGTAATTTAACAAATGTCTTGTGGGTGTAGCAGATGTCTTTTCTCCCCCCTCTCTTGCCTACCCCCTTCCCCCCCCCCCTTTTTTTTTTTTGGTTTTAATTCACGTTCCCTTAAAGTTTTTGGCAAGCTCTCTTTGTGTGCTGTCTTAGAGGGCACTCAAAGACAGAGGGAATTTGTTTTTAAAAAACCTTATCTCACAAGTAGACCCCACAAGGTAGAGAAAAGGATATTGCTGATGTCCTCTGTGGCCTTGCAAGGGTATTGTTGTACTGGCTCTGCTCCAGCACATCACTTAAGCAATTGCAGTCAATGGGACCAGAATATGTTGAAATATTCTTCTGTATTGATCTGTATCTGTGGATACTTTCTAAAGATGAGGTGGGGTACCATGAGAACTTCTCAATGGGATTCTGTGGTCAAGCTAAGAAACAAGCAGCAGGTCTCTCTGTGGTGGAGATACTGGGGAGGGGGGTGGGCCTTGCTTGAGAAATCTCTAGATGTTGGTGGATTAAGGAAACAAGAGGGTGCTGGAAGTTGGGAGTGAGTAGGGGTAAAGACTTGAAGCCATTTCCCCTTCTGTCATTGCATTAGATTGGTTTATCTAAAATAATTGGGCGTGGTGCTGTTCACACTGTGTGATTTCCAGCCCTGTAAGTGCATAATGCCTTGAGCATGCACTGTTCATGCATGTAGGCTTACATTAGAATTTTGAAGTCTTGGAGTGGAAGAAAATGGGCTTTCAGATTTATGTGGGAGAAACGGCATTAGGAAGTTTTGAGTAGCATCACTCAAGAATGTTAAATGGCAATTCTGCAAAGTAAAAACATCACAGCTTTATAAATATTTTAAGGAAAGAAAGATGATGGGAGCTCCTTGGAGTCTGAGAAATACTGAGAATTTTTCAAAATGTTATGAGCAATTTGTGCAGTATTTATTAAAGTATAATGTCATCAGGAGAAGTCATGGACCTCTTCCTCTCTGTCATCTCTTTATTTTCAAGTAATGCTCCCATTGCTGGAATGGGTGAGCAGAATTTTTCCATGCATAGAATCTGTTATTCCAGTGCTTGAGGTAAGGTAAAGATAACCAAAGACAGTGGGTTTCTTTTTCTGAAAGGCTGTCCTGTCTAATTTGTTTAACTCTGAACCAGCAGAAGTAGTTACTGTGATTGTTTAATTCTGCAAAAGACAGAGTAAAGGTCACTTGTGGGACAAGCTGAAGATCATTTCAGTGCAGCTGCCTGTGTAATAGTGGCCTGCAGTTACAAGCCGTGGTGTGTTTCCATTTCTGCTGATGTTTTAGCTTGACTAAGCAAAACTGCTCTCTCTACACAAAGCTGTGATTGTGTTTTCCAACGGAATCAGTAGAGGAGTCAGTTTAATTCAAAATAGCACCTTCTAATGGAGAGAGGTCCTTATTGGACAGATGATATATCGTCAGGATTTGAATAGTTTGCTGCAGAGGGGAGTAATTAAAAAATTAGTGAGAACAGATGTCTAATGTTGGCCTAAGCAGTCAGAGAGAAAAGGAAATGGCCTGGGTTTGAACTTTTTATCTTAATTGGATCCCTTGTGACTTTCAGCCCATTTGATTGGAGTTTCTTCAGTAGACTCTCCTGCTTCTACTGTACAAAGCCAACAGCTTTAAATTTTAAAGTTTTTAATGTGTGGGTATAAGCACTCACACAAGTCTTTACATACAGTTTGGAAGGATGATTCCTTCACAAAAAAAAAGCTTTATGTACCACAGGCTGCTTTGGTATAGCTTTATCTCCCATGTGATATACAGAAAAGCAAAATACTGTTCTTTTAAACTGCATTTTGGTATATTTTTTGAATTTTTTTACATAATTCTTCTACAGGTGTGTTCAGGCTCCTTTTATTAGTCAGACCCTCTGTAAAGTGCCAAATTAGCAAGAGGAACATTTGGTACACTGCTTTAATCTTAAATATCAACAATGCAATTGCTTCTAGAGATACAGGTGACTTTGCAATGTGTAGGAGCCATCTGGGGCTGTGTTATGGCAGGCATGTTCACGGAATCTCTGGGAATTTTTCCTTTACAGCAGTATAAATATGCCTCTAGACTTAAGCACTGGTGAAGTACCAGAACTTGGCATTCATTCAAAGTTGTCCTTGGTCTAGGATAATTTGAGTTAGGTAAAATATTCCATTTTCTACAGGCAAGGAAAGAAGCTTGTTTTTATTTTTCAGGGCATACTGTAAAAGAAAAAACTGCTCTTGATGATTCAGATATTGGATTAGTTCCCAGTAAAAAAAAAACCACCAAAGGTATACTTCAGGGTATGGAAAATCTAGTCGAGGATGACAGTATTGCATGTCTTTTCCATGTATTCTAGGCATATCACCTCAGCATATATGCTATTCTTAACGTTCTGCCAAAAGACCCTTGATACAGCTTCATTTAGAGAAAAAAATAAGCAGATGTTGAAGGCAGAAGGGGGACCAGCTTAATGCCTAGACAACCTTTGGAGGCATGAGTGAGTTATTCATCAAATACATATGCTTGAAGGGAAAAAACAGAACTATTTCTCATTGAACTTTGGGTGTAGCTGATATAGATGGAGACATTCTCTGCCAAAATACATAGCACTGCTGCCTAGACAGTATAGTTTTTTGCTCATGACAACTTCCACAGTCAGATTTGGGGTGTGGTACAGAGTAGGATGTAGAGATGCAGAGATTGAATGCCTGCATTGAAGGTGGTTACTGTAGGAGAAACTGAAAATTGAATAAATTAAGGAGAGAGGTACTCCTAGGCTTGGAAAACAATCTGGCCCTTGTTGTAGAGTTATTGGGGCAGGGTGTTTTTCTTGGAGCTGCCGTGTCGTGGCGAGGGTCTCGTGGCTGCAGCTCAACGTGTTGTGCGTTTGAGTGTCCAGTCTCACCGGGGGCTCTGGGCTGAGCAAGTGACTGCACTGCCTCTCTCTTGTTCTTTCTTTGTCACCTCGCTGTCTTCTGTCACTGTACTGCCTCTCTCATTTTTTGTTTGTCACCTCACTGTCTCCTGTCATGGCCCTGCCTCTCTCTTGATCTTTGGTTATCACCTCGCTGCCCTCCCGGACCACATGTGGGAGGCAGTGACAGCCCTGAGAGACCAAGGATGATGGAATGGTGGCCTAGGAATGCCCAGAGTTTTATTTCATAACAGTAAAGCAGTACTCTGCCCTCCTGACCTGCCCCAAGAGCCCCTTATCCCCCACTTCTGTGCTGCCTCAGGCACACACTCCTCCTTCCCGGCTGCCTCGGCCGGTGCCACAGCTCCGAGATGGTGCTTGGGCGGCTCTTGCTTTATTTCTCTGTTCCTTCATGATAGATCACACCTGTATTGGGGGTTAGTACGTAGTGCAGTGATAGAGAAATGGGAATTTTACGTTGGTCTCACGTTTCTGTTGCTTTAGGTTGTAAATAGAAAATAGGATGAGTGCAGTGATGGTGTTGTGTCACCGCCCAAGACGAGTGAATCACTGCGTGCTGTTTGCAACTGCACTTGGTCCTGCTCATGACTGGCCATGCCCGGTGCCCACAGCAGGGCTGACATCGTGGGTATTAAACTCCTACTGTAATATTTGATTTAAGTTTCACAGATAAGAGCAGCTTTGCCTCTTTGAATACCAAAAAGGATGATTGTCAGACAGTGTTTGTTTCTTAATTTATTTCGTGGGGTTTTTTTAAGAGATGTGTCTTGGTGTTAGGAAGCCAGAAAAGGCAAGTACTTCACATCCTGTTCTTCATTAGAAATAATTCTGATAAGACTTCTAAGTGATCTAAGTGCTTCTGGAAAATTTAGATACCTAATTTCAAAGCTGACCTGAAATTAAATCTGAGGTGCCAAAGTAAATACAGTTGGTTTCTGATCCATTTCAATGGTCCTTTTTCTAAAATAAATCTGTAAGCGTTAAATTAATTTTTATTAGTACTCCTTTTTTTTTTTTTTTGGTGAGGAATCTCTGATTTAATATTTTTTTCCCTGCTAATTAATCTTTAATTAAACAAATAAAGCCTAGGTGAAGGTGGTTTCATACTGACCTTTTGCACTTGTTTACATCGGTGACTGATTTCTGTCACTTGCCCTCAGAAGCTGGAGTGCTGTAGTTCTAAAATGGCTTTTCTAAAGACCCAGAGCTGTGGTTTGCACTTTTTAATACTGGTGTTGCATTTGGTTTTATTTAGGAGTAAGATAAA